AGGATCTTGAGAGGTCAATGAAACTTTGCGTTGCAGCGCGGGCTCAGCTGACAGGCGGGGGCGAGCGGCGCCGGCCGCCCACGCGCTGCGCCGATTCCCGTCGGGGGGAAGCCTGTAGAGCCAACTCAGACAATAATTGTGCCACTCGCGCACTCGCGCCCTGCCCAGTTCGACGTGCTCGTCATGACCAAAATAAACAGTGTTACGTCGCCCTGTCGTCGCCGACTACAATACGCTGTCATTTTCTGGTTTCGCGGAAGACACGAGTTACGCTCGATGATAAATATTAGCGCGCGTCAGCGCGACGCTTTTGTGAAATCGCTGACATTAGTCTAGTTGCACTTCTGTTAGATGCAGCTGCCTCTCCGCGATTATTTCCATCGACACTGCTCAGGGCATCGGTCAAGGGCGAGCAAGAACTTCCTCGTGGAGGATTATCTGTTCTTTTAGATTTATTTTTGGATCTTATTCGTTACGTAATCAGAATGACACGAAGTTTCCAGACAATGTTTTAATTTGGCAAATTGTCTAATACAACGCGGAGGAGACAGTTGTTGTAATCACGAGAGTAATCATTCCGAGGGAAGTTAATGCGCTGTTGATATAGTATCACGCGCTCTAACGCGCGCCGGCGCAAGCGCGGACCGTACGCAGGAGGAGTAAGTTTGCCAAGAGCGATGAATTTGCGGAGCATTGTAAACAATATCAATATATCGATGCTCGAAGAAACATTAAATAATTGTTGCGTGTGCTCAGTGCGCCGGTGGAAACTTGCCATGTGGCACGTAATATAAATTGGTGTTTGCAATTACAAATTGTTCATAGTGCTTTGTAAGAGGGCCGCAGGTGATACCCCGCCGTCACGCCCTTGAAAAAGCCCGGCCAGCAGAAAATGTTTCACACTGCGTCGCGAATATGTCCTCGGCACGTTATGAACATAAAATAATTATTTTTCTCAATAAGATTCAATATACGTGTATGTTAAACGGGGGCCTCCAACTCTCCCATTACCATGGACATATTAGAAGTTGTCTTTGTGTCGTCAAACTTTTTTATAGCCCGTCTTTTATTCTGCCGTCCGTTAACTAAAACGCGGCTAAGTGACAAAATATTTTTTTGAGATATCTTAGAAAACCGTAACTCAGTCTTAGGATATTAAAATTGTTTAATGATATTTCAGCTATGGACCGTCAGTGTAAGTTCCGATAAGTCGAACACGTAAACTAATTTTAACTGTTTTTAAACGATAATTTTGTGCTCTATCTTATGCTATTTAGCGTTTATTTACGTTTTAGTTAGTGGACGGCAGTATTGTAGTCGAATTTTAGTCTCTTATCTCAAATTTTTGTTCATATTCAAGTAATCTCGTATTTTTCCCATTACTGGAACTAATCCGTATAGGTAAAAATGTTTTTTTTTTATCGCCGCCGCACAATATCGGGAAGTATTCTATTAATTATTCAGTCAGTGCGAGTATGTAGCTGTATATGTACATATGAAGTATATAACAATATTCCGGATGGTTAGTCTGCCATGTGAATTTTAAGCAGAAGCCTCGCAGAACAATACCTTCATCACGTGTCTAGCCACCTCCGCCGCGTTCGGTGGGCGTACGCTAGATCGATCCTGTGAAATAATTCCATACACATTCTAGCATTTGCTCGGTAATTAGTCCCACCAAGATTATGAACAATCTAACGATAAACTTATGCCTAAATTATACGCGATAACCAATTTGTAATACGTGGCACTGGTAATTATTATTGATCACCCACACAAACTATACTGTGACTATTATGTTCCCAAACAAATCAGTCACCTAGTACAAGTATACCTGTTAACAGATGATGTCACGGTATTCCTCTGCGGCAGTATAGGAGTGATCTAATCTTGAATCACGAGCTCGTCACCTCTCCACGCTTGGATTTGCACGAAGTCTGTCCACGAGACGACATAATGTATTTCCTTGTATAATTTAACAATTTGCCAATGCGGTGTTATTTTATGTTAAGAGTGAGCGCGGCGAGGGTTTAGTGTTCCCGCATTATCCGCGCTCAATTGTTGTGCTAATTAGCTAGCACACGCCATTGTTGTACTCACACCGTCCTTGTCGAACTGGATGCTCTTTGCGTTAGCATAATATAGTTCCGTATATACTCATTCACCGACAGTCCTTGCGCGGCAGAGACAATACCGAGTATGTAGTAAGTAGGGGTACTTATTACTTTTTACGCCAATTGCAAGCGGGCGTGATCTGCTCGACTGACTTGCAAAATAATGTCATACTTTATTAATTTTACTTGGAATTGCCATTTTATATTTTAGGTTTTTCCAGCATAATGTTAGCTCCAGTAACTCATTTAGCAACCGTCAAGGTTAAAATCGAACAAGCGTTACAAGCGATATCTGATAATCAAAGGAAACTTTGTTATAAACCAGGCGAGCGTGTGAATAAGGCCGCTTGATGTAAACAAAACATGGTACATTTTGTCATAGTCTGATTATAGCCTGACAGTTGTGTACACAACACACGTCTTTTATTACACGTTTGATACGTAATTGTATTGAATTTCGGGTTATTATCGCAAACACTTCACTTTTCATACGCTATATACAGCACTAAACTATAAATAATTTGTCACAATCAAGACGACTTTGTGATGGTAACTAAAACACTTCCGAGATATACTCGAAAGCAAAATGATATAATTTAGCAAATATGGGCCAATCAATGTGACAAAAAACATGACAAAGAAAGAGGTCTTAGTTCCGGCACACTTTGCAATCATGCTTTGGCATCATCATCACCACCGTGAATCCATTATAAGTCGGGCTGGTGGGCACGGGTCTCCTCTTAGGAAAGGAGTTAGGACGCAGTCCACCATTGGCCCAGTGAGCCAATTACGCCTACTAAACATTCACGATTGTACGCAACTTAAATTTGAAGTTATGCCGAAATATGGATTCACATTGTTTCTCTTTTATATATTATTCATTAGTAGCACTAATAAATTTTCAGTAACTAGGTTTAGAGTGGCGCGGCATGCTAATCATTGCGCGGCGGCAGCAGCTCGGTCCGTTGAAGAGTTGACAGATTGATTGTGCGCAATGTCACGGCCGGCACGGCGCACATCGTTCATGCTCGCCACCGAATTCCCCGAATATAATATCAACAGTTGTGTGCGCCGTGCGAAGCGTTAAATCGCAGCCACGGTCACGTTTTTGCGCACAACAGTTTGTTGTTTCCGAGATCACTGCGAAAGGCCTTCGCTAAGGCTTGAACAAATTACGCTTAGATAAGGCTGGCTCCAGTTAACAAGAGTTCCTATAAATTACTTCTTTTATATTACGACTCCACTGTTAAAACATAACGTTGTGATAATTATCTTTACGAGCAAATTATTTTAGACCACAGAAAAAGGTAAACATCTTATTTGTGACAGCTGCAATATATTATTATGTCGTCGCTTTTTATACTTAAATGGATAGCAAGTTGTTTGAATTTTTAAGCTAAAACTCGTTTCCAGTGTTTAAAATATTTACGAGACTTACGAAATGTGATGGCTGTTGAATATTCAGACCTATTTCATCACAATTTGGGCGATTTGGTTTGTTCGCCTGCAGCAATTAGCATTCTAAAAATAGCCGAAGGTTTATAACGCGACTGTAGTAATTAATGGTAATTTCTTCAGCCAACATTATAAGTGGTGTATGATAAAAAGGTAGCAGACAACCAACTAGGACGATAACTTCGCAGAACGCCTCGAATAACTAGAAATTTGTAAACGATGGAAAAATCGATAGGTTGTTGCGTAGAGCGTTATGCAAGACAATTACTTTTTGCTACAGAAATCTACATCTTGAACGTGATTTGATTGCACGACTAATACCAGGCTTAGAGGGTTTTTGTTTAATCAGAATTAGTCACTGGTCCAGGCAAGCAGCGGCTATCGTTACAGTGCTAATCGGCCGCTCTAATATCAGGGGAATGCGATAACGCAATCCGCGATAACGTGCGCGGTGATAACGCAATAATTGCCTCGTGCCCAGTGTCCACAGCCACCAGTAACTACATCTAAGTGCCTTTCTACATTCCTAATAATCAATATTCCTTTCCGTATTTAAATTTACAATCCACTTATTCGGGTTGAGAATGCGGAAGTCGTAAAAGTCTGTAAAAGCGCATAACGTGTATGTATGGCGTGCCAACGCTTGGAAATTGAATGGATTTCATATCAAAGCGACGGGATGGGCTATGGTGGCGCATGGCGGTAGATGTAAATTAACGAGTTAACGAACGCGAGGCGAAGTCGAGGCGACAGGTGGTAACTTTCGCCGCGGGCACACCGGAGTGAGTGGCCAATCGATACTAGACTCGTTCATTTTCGGTTCGGACACACCAATACTATGAGTATTTAGTTTTAAATAATTTCTAAGTACTTCAGTTTTATTATCTTTGAAATCCTGAGTTGCCTTTCCATCGATACTTGACTGCTGTTTATTTGCCGGTTCAATAATCTTGAACTAAATCAGTCTTTGAAAATAACAAGTATTATGAAAAATTGCACTCGAATGAAGATTCCTACGCAAATATTTCACTGTGGATATTGTGAAATACTCTCTGCTTCAGTAAAATAAACTTCACCCGTGTGTTTCTTTTTTGTTTAGATATTATCGATATTTTATTACTGAATGGGCAGTGAAAGTGAAATATTACTTTAAAATAAGAATGTTTTCGTAATTTGTTGATGTACAGAGAGTTGAAAGCTATCTTACCATTGGCTTTCCGGGAATCGACTTTCACACTAAGATTTTATTATATTATATAATTATGTAACAAACAACTAATTATAAATAATTGCATTTTCCTGAACACATTGTGTTACAACAGTCATAGGTGAACCTATGGCTGTTGTAACACAATGCCTCTTATTTCAAAATTTTCCTTCCTGCATGAGAATGTAGCTATCAAAATATTAGGTATGTTTCATGGTACTCACCGTCAGCGTCAACCTCGTTGATCATATCCTGGAGCTCAGCTTCGGTGGGGTTCTGTCCGAGTGAGCGCATCACGGTGCCCAACTCCTTGGTGGTGATGGTGCCGTCACCGTCCTTGTCGAACAGCGAGAACGCCTCCTTGAACTCCGCGATCTGTTCCTCCGTCAGCTGGTCCGCCTGTAACATTGCATGCATACTCACTTATTACCTCTGCTTTACAGGGTCTTAAGTAAGCATGAAAATAGAACGAAAAAAAAAAGTAAAATTGTTATAGTAAGCTGTAGTTAAATAAGATCAAGTAAATTGTAAACAACAAAGCAATATAGGAATGAACTTGAGTTGTCAAAACTTGCTATTCCTATAATAACATGGGCAAGATAAAGAAACTGCAAAATTAATGCAACACACAGGTGCCTAGAAATCAAATTTCAAGTGGACTAAGATGAAAAATAGGAAACAACAATGGAGGCACATACACTGGAGACAACCATTATGTTAGAGTATTAGCAACAAAAGAGTTGGTAGTGGTCTGGAGTATAAGCTAGAGCCGCGATAAGATTGCCACTGTAATCTATAGATTACAGTGGCAATTACCGCCACGTCATACTGCGGCGCGATAAAATTACTGCATTACAATTAAATCTATGTTATATCATGCCATGATATAGCATACTTTGATAAAAATTTAAGTTTTAATGGCAAACCATTGCTTATTGCAAAATTCTAATTACAACAGTTAGATTTGCTATTTTAACAAGAATGGCAATAGTGTGGCGCATCCAATCATGTTTATGGGCTATTAGTGATGTTTTTCAGTTGAAACTTACGTAAAAGTCAAAGTAACAATAACATACTAATCGTGTTACCATAGTAAATAGGAAAGAACAGAAAGCCCAACCCACACCTTATAAACTCAAAATCAAAGTGAAATTATCTAAACATAGTAAGGTCACTAAATAGTAATCTTTTATTAATTAGTAATCCTACTTAGTTGAGTACACGACAAAAGCAATAACATATTATCAAAAAATGGTTTTGATAATGCAACCTTTATTGTCTTTATCCTGTCATTAGGTTTCTACAAAGTATGTCACATTTAGGTACCCATTTCATAGCCATCAAGCCTCTGATAAGCAAATGTGGCAAGGCCACTAAGTAATTAAAATGCTCTGAGTTGGTTAAGGAAAAACACACTTGATAATAAGAGGAAAGAATAAAAGAAGAATTTAAATATAACATGTAAAGCATGCTACAACCATTATACTGGCATTAATTTTTAAGTTATATTGTTACAATGTAAATGATTATTATTATTGTCAGTTAAATAACTAAATGACATTGAGAAGTGAAAAAATACTTTGCCAAGAACAGTGCAGAGTTTCATAAAAGTCATGACCGTGTACATTGTCCCAGTACGAGTTCAGTCACACCAAACATACGAATACAGATTGTATTAACCTTAAATTGAATTACAAAGGCAATAACTATAAAACAATTTTTTTAAACTGTTTATTTTCTAAACATTCAAAAATATTGGTTCACATTTAGTTTTTAAATGGCTGGCTGTATACATCCTATAAATACTTTATACTACATATATAAATATCAAAAAGTACCTATAGAAACACAACTGGAATATTATTATTTTGAGATAGTAATTTGTAGCAAATACTCAATAGTAAATAATAATTTGTCACCAAAACTTTTATTCAGTTCAGCTAAATTTAGTCCCTCAATTCTGATCAGTGATTTTGACCTATCAATATAAATTGATTTATGATAATAAACCACAAATCTATTTATATAAATTTGTTTAATGCATGACTGTTATAAAGTACATGAAAAAAATTTTTCTCATTGTACAATTGTGTTCTTTATTGAATGCACACCTATAAAACTATTAAAATTCTAAGCTGATTACATCATGGAAAATACCAAACAGATTAAAAATATATTTATGGCAGACATACAATAATGATTACATGCCATGTCGCAGCTATAAAAACTTAACTATCCATCTTGTCAGCAAGATGAATAAGCAGAAACAATAGTAGAAAAATATCTCAGTTATACTATATTGTGGGAAACTTATCACAATACATTGGGTTCACCTTATTGGTCATTTGCAATTGATATGATTTTCTTATGAACTGTCCACTTTATTTAATTCTTACTTTACAAAAAATAATTCCTCTTAATTGATTTACAGGAAACTACTACTACTAGGCTATTGCGGAATATGTAGTTGAAAGATATAAGGGTGCACATATGTGAACAGTAGGACGGAACTCAATATTATAAAAGAATGCAAAGTACTATTGGCTTAAAGATGACCTAATTGCTTTCACACTTCATTCCACCTAATGAACCACTAAGCCAGAAATCTCAATAATAATAGGGGCACAAACATTTGATAATTAGGGCACACTTGCGTAGTCGGGAAGTAAAGGAGGGTATAACTGAAGTGAGAGTTGCATCAACAGATGAAATCGAGGGTAGAACGGCGTCAATGAGGGGTGGAGCAGAGCACAGGCTCCAGACGCTTTGGCTGAGACGCCAACTGGCCAGCCTTTTCGATAACGGCCACATTGAATTGCGTATGAGGATTATCGGCTAGCGTAGCGATGAGTCAACGGGCGTTTTGACAGTTGTACCCGGCCGATCGATGAGCCGTCAACAGGGTGCGCCGCCAGCCGCCGTTACATTTATATTATAAAAACCACTTGTTTTCTATGTAACGGTCGCTCAGCGCCATTTTTGACTGTCATCGACAACCCGGCTTCAGCCAAATAACGTCATCTAGCCGGCACCACCTAGTACGGAGCTATGGCGACAGACGTTTCTCGACCCTTTGTAACGGTCTTCACCCAACGCTGGATGTTTGCATTTAGCGAAGAAACACCTTTTCACATATTGCCACATGCACAGAATCCTCATCCTGGGCACGACGCTTTGCGATCCGCAATGCGGTAAAAAACGGTCGTCACAATAATATAATGGAGGCCGTCATCACTATAAACACCAATTCACCGTATTTCCGAAATATACCCAGCAACCGACTTTGAATTATCTCCTGAATGCACTTTTATCACATTTGAGCGGAAATAGCACTCACCATTGTAGATTAACTTGGATTATCTGGAGCTACACTAAAAAAAATCACAGATTATGCCGCGAAAGCGACCGCACGGACCGACGTTTGACACGATACTGCCGCCCTCTTTCGTGCGAGCGGCAGCGCCGGGAAACTCGCAACCGCGATTCGCTAGAGTTCGGCCGCGAATCGTTCCGAGTTTACTATTCGAATCGCCAAAATTTCATGTCCGTTTTCCGGTTTTTAGAACCGTTTGACACTGCACTCGTTTGTAGTTTTATTTCAAAAACGAATCTTTCGAGCGTTGAAGTCCATGTCTCGGGACGAACAGCACGGGATTAGATTTAATCCGCAAAGGATAGTCGGTTTTATATCAGACGGGTGCGGCGGCGTGGACTAGCGAGCGGCGCGCGCCGATTGGCCGTCGCGCACCTGCAATGCGTCACTGCGGGGCGCTAGCCGCCAGCAAGAAGCAGCCGCTGCCGCGCGTGGTGCGCCGTGCTTCCGTCGCCGGCGGCGGCGGTGGCGGCGGCGAATCAGGGTTGCTCCCGCCGCAACAAGACGCAGCGTCGAGGCTGTTTCGCACGGCGTGTTATCAACCGCTCTCTGACGACTGCTGACCGGTACGAGGCGGTTTCTGCCCCCATATCGTAATTAAAGCCAGCCCGGAGATATTTTTTTAGACGTCGCCGCCACTAGTACTAAGACGCCAAAGTGCCGCATTCAATCATTCACAAGTTCCACATCCGATAGGCATTTTTAAAAATAAATATGAATGACGGCAATTTCGGTTGACAATTAAACCTTTAGTCGTCGTATTTCCTAGACCGTAAATGTTGTACATAATTGGTAAAACCTTACCTATAATTTTTAAATTTTGACGAAGTATCATTTGCAACCAATAAGTAGGTAGTATCTTAACGCATCACGGTTGAGTACAGGATCTTCAGTGGCTTAAATCGCCTAAACATTTTAAACCGTTCACCACACTGGCCTTCGTAACCTAACCTTCAGATTGTAATTATGGTAATTGATTCATAGTTTTATTGTAAAAGACATTCAACAGTAATATTCTACTTTACACTGGTGACACTTTTGCATAAATACTTCGTCGATTTCTTTTTGTCAAAATGTAATAAAGCAAAAAACGATAAATCACTTTTTATGACACTTGACTAACATTACATCTAGTCAAAAAAATTTACTAAATTAGTAATTATCGAGTTCTTAGGTTTTCGCGATTGTTACACATAGGAAATGAAACTGTTTTTCCGGACTTAAATCGCGTATCACGGTTGACTGTGAGCCAACCGTGACCATGGGACCTGTAAAGGGCCCGAAACGTCGGTTTGTTTGAAAAAACAAATATACTCGATTTAAATCCAGAAAAATAGTTTCATTTCCTATAAATTAGTATATACTAAATTTCGTTCTAAACACTGATATTGTCGTTGATACTCAGATCATCACTCAGGACTTGAGTATAATTTCTAGTGCTTTAAATCATACTCAAATCCTGACTTGAGCATTGAGTAGAGTTCTGGAATACGACCCTAGGATGCTGTTGGATGTCCCTTTTTTATTTATTTTATTTATTAAGGCTTTGGCAAAACCATCAGCCTAAGCATAAATTGTTATAATTATTACAGAGTTTTAAATGTAATTTTAAAAAAACTAACTACTACAATATGAAAGTTAAAAAAGAAATTAAATTTAAACAACTTACACAATTTTAAAGGTGCTATTTACAAATTCAAATATTACATTATATACACTTGTGTGCTTTAAAAGCTCCTGTACAGTACTGGGAATTGTTTTATATTCGAGAATGTCTTGAGTTAAAGAAATAAGTAACAGACGTAAAGAAAATTGTAGGCAGTCAAAAAACAAATGATTAAGGTCACAGTAATTATGGGAACAATATGTATACAACGAGTTAGTATTTAACTTTAACCTAAATAAATGTACAGGGATCTTATAATGACCTATGCGAAGTCTGCTTAGATTGGATATCCTTTATCAATAAATAAATAAATAAATAAAGAAGTATTTTGTTTGTGTTTTTTTTTATTGATTATAGGCAAGACAAGGAACGCAAAAACTGACGGTAGTGACGACGAAGTAACCGAAAACGGAGCATGCTTGCCTAGAAAGCATACCCCGTTTGAGTTGTAGCATTCGGTCAAGATTTTTAAGTTCCTAAAAATTTATTGTAAAAAATATGTAACGTTTTCTGAAGGTCACATTTATCACCAGATAGTGAGATTACCAGAGACTTGCTAGTTTCTATTATCTGATAGGAACTCGTAACATCGCACCGACGCGGGCGATGTCCACCCAGGCGAATGGCCGACAGGAATTCGGTTCATAATATTGGAATTCCAGCCGCTCACTCGCACCCTCGCCTTCCCTCGCCGTCCGCCACATACATAACAGATCGGGTCAGTATTTGATGTCCCGCATTCCATGATGCGAGATGTGCAGCCTGCCTACATTGTTTACATGTGTTTGAAAACTAAACTCTTAATAGCAATGTTTCTTAAATTAAGTTATGTAAATTATAATTTTATTAATAAGAATACTTAATTTAGTTTGTGTAGTTGGAAGTGTCTACTCAATAATTAGCAATATAAAGGTAAAAATGTCTTATGGTTCAACAAATCAATAACATACGTGCATATAATAATACCTTACCCTTACCTACCATACGTATACCTACCAACACTCAATCTTGTGATAAAGCCGCCCTTGTCCTCGGAATAATCGATGTTCGATTGCCGAAATGCTAACAATTAGGAGAACAATAGCGAGCATAATTTTACTGTTATTCTCGCAAATGGTGAATGGGTCGTGTGGATACGTAACGATTAACAATTAGCGGCGTACAATGAATACTTAACTATTCGTTGAAATACAGATATTTATTGTCCCTTACATGAATTTATGACTTGCCCAACGTGACTATCAAAATAGCAGAATATTTTTGTTTGTCTATTTTTCCTAATAAAAAATTCATTTCCATAAATCGCACGTTTACAATGAAAGTGACCCAATACAAAATTTCAACTTTTGGGAATACGCAAAATAAGATTTGAAGTGATGACATTTTCATAATATTTAGTTTATGACTCTTGAAGTACTAAAGTTTGTGCCTTTACAACTGCAAAATTTGTTATTGATTATTTTAATATTTAACAATTTAATAACATAATTTACAGAAACTAGTCGCCACAAGGTCACTTTTTTTACTGAACTTTTTCGTTATCATTTGACGTATGTTTAACTGTATAAACTCATTTTATTCATTTTTGAATTGGGTCACTTTCATTGTAAACGTGCGAAATGTATATACTATAACATTAATGTAAAAAAGTGAATTTCTTTAAAATGATCTCGGAAAGAGTTTCTGGGGTACAGTTTATAAATTGCTCTGGCAATGCAGTTCACAGCTTCTATTGATGTCGGCAGCATTTTCTTCATGCAAAATGGCGTATTCATCAAACTGTGAAAGTGCCTAAAATAAACCAATGTCGCGGTTGCCAGTGCTACGTCTGAAAGTTTTTGTATTCGTCAAATCGCGTGAGCAGAGCTGAGCCGTTTCGGCAACTTAGTTACTTATGGACCCCATAGCCAGTAAGCATCCAAAGTTATACTTAAATATACAACAGTATCTGCAAAGGTCAATTTTTCCTTTTCAAATATGATATTTGTTATTTCAAACTGAGGGACTCTGCTTGGGATCTCTCAACGTCTGATGCAGTTGTTGAAGACCCCAAGCCTAGCAAAATAAGCGAATAATGCAACACATTTTGTTAAAAACACATGTTGGCATTATTTAGACAAGGTGCAATACTACAGAATTAATTACTCCGACGGACACCATCAAGGTTAACAGTATATTTTATTTTTAGTCTTTGAGATTGTCTTCTGGGCGTACATGAGGATAGTTTTAATTAGCTAGACTAACTCCTATACTTTCTTTATGTAAGGACTCAGCAACTGTATATTTGCGGCAGTGAATTCCATGACTTGGTAGTCGAAATTGGAGTACATAGGGCGCACTATAAGTTTCCGCAACTGGCCACTTACATAAACAATATTTAAAAAGTAATTACAACATTTGAAAATGGATCTCTTTGGCTGTAGAATACAGTTTGTTTCATCTGTTTTTTTGTTGGTATTTTGTTTGTGGCGTCATTTTAGAAATTGGTTGTTTACATCACCATGGGATTTAACTCGAGAAAATTTTCGTGGTATGATTTTCTACGACTTTAAGTGTAGTCTAACAGTTCAGCAGAGCTTCGCTCGATTTCAAACAGCTTTTCGTCTATTTGTTGCTGGTTTGCAGAATTCAAACGCGGTCGTGTGAATCTCAGGTCGTGTGAATTGGCGAATTTCGTGATCACGTCATCATCGCGTCACTTGGTGCAATGCCATGCTTACCAGACACAACAAAGGGGCGTCAAATTTGGTGTGGGACATAGTAACAGGTGACGAAACATGGATTTATTGTTACGATCCCAAAACAAAGCAGCAATTGAGCGCATGGGTCTTTCGAGATGAGCCGAAACCAACCAGAGTGGCGCGCTTGCAAAGTGCCTCTAAGCGGATGATTGCTTCTTTTTTTTTAATAAAACTGGACACGTGGCTACTATTGCTTTGGAGAATAGTTGTACCGTGAATAGTGATTGGTACACGACCATTTGTTTGTCAGAAAATAACCGTAAAAGCCGTATCATTTTGCACCACGATAATGCCAGCTCTCTCACGGCCAGACAGACAAATGAATTTTTGAAGGTGAACAACGTTGACCTTATGAGCCATCCCGCGTACAGTCCCGACCTGGCACCTTGTGACTTTTATTTATTTCCAAAAATTAGGAACCAGTTTTGCGGTCAACGATTTTCATCACCTGAAGTGGCTGTCGAAGAGTATGAAAAATATGTTACGGAGATTGTCACGGAGGAGCGGCATAAATGTTTTCAAAATTGATTCATTCGTATGAAAAAGTGCAATAACGCTAACGGAGAATATTTTGCGAAACAATAAATTCATTTCTGACCATTTATAGTACTTTTTTCTTATTCATTCCGGAAATTTATAGTGTGCCCCACGTATCTTTAAAAAAAAAGAAATATTTTAACAACTTCTGCTTCAGTTTTCTGTATCCACTCAGTTTTTATTAACATTGCCTTTAGCTGCAACACAGACCCGTTTAAACATTTTCAAATATTTTCTAATAAAATAATTAAAATTGTCACTAGTATTGTAAGTCCTTTTATCGTAAAGTTCATAGCCTCTGTCGGCTTTTATGATTTCCCACTGTAGCCCAATCGCTTAATTTTAAAGATTGACTAGTGCTGT